CTCCCCAAGATTCCTAAGACCGATTCCCTTTCCCTTTGTCCTGCGATAGCTCAATTTTAAGAGACGTAAGAGAAAAGAAGGAGACTTGGAAGTCTGAGGTCCTGTTCTTTGGCAGAGGAGTCATCTGGGTCAGAGGATTATTGGCACTGGTGTCCTAGAGCCAGCTCATAGTGCCTTGTGAGAGCCGATTGTTACGTTTGTGGGAATTTTGTGAGTGGGTTGTTAAACATAGCCGTTACTCAAATTTAAATTACCTAAACTCATAATTTAATACATTATATTAAAAACAAGGGTACGAAGTACTTGAAAGTCGTCACTTTTAAATTGTACTGCATTTTACTGTGCTGTGCTCTTGAGGTATTTATCTGTATGGTGGAAATACTACATAACGGTGTGCTACTGCACATCTCTTCCCAGCATTCAGTTATGTAATGTTGGTAGCTTAAAACTGGCCATGGTGGGAGTATTTTCACCATGGGAATTGGCAAACATGACAAATATCGGGAGTTTTCCTCCTCCTTTGGGGAGCTGGTTATGAAACATTGACTTGCATAATACTGCTGGTTTGGGGGATGTTTCGTCTTGTCTTGCTACGGCTTCTGAAGTTGGCAAGGCTTATACAGCACCAACCCCTGATGCCCACTGAGAGCAAGGCTTCCGGCAGCCAGACCGGGGCCTCCTGAGTCTGTTAGATGTCACCGAGATCCCTCCCTCTTCCCAGGCCCTTCCATACTTTGACCGGCTAGACTATGTGTCCATGATGTGTAACGAACAGGCCTATTCACTGGCTGTGGAGAAGTTGCTCAACATCCAGCCTCCACCGCGGGCACAGTGGATCCGAGGTATGTCCCCTCCCCTTCTTCCTGCGGCCCATTGTGAGCACAGCGCAGTGCTCACCCCATCTTAGGAGCGTTGAACTCAAGTATACTAGAATCTCTGCTGAACTCACAGTCACCCTCCATTTGCCTACTAGAACCAACCCCTTGGTATCATGGCTGATGTCTGTGGGTTTTCTAAGAACTTCCCTGTCAGCTCCTATACCCTTTTGTTCACTTTTGCTTTCCCTTCTCCTCAGTGCTCTTTGGGGAAATCACACGCATTTTGAATCACATCATGGCTGTGACCACACATGCCCTGGACATTGGGGCCATGACTCCTTTCTTCTGGATGTTTGAAGAAAGAGAGAAGGTATGAGAGAGAGTAAGGGATAGGAATGGGAAAGGAAGTACAGGAAGTAGAGACGATATGAAGGAGACACAGGTTAAAAGAGAGAGAACATGGGAAGGACATTTGTGGGGAGAAGGTATAGAGTATAACTCGGGTTATATTCTTAGGAACTCTGTATCAGGAGGGGTTGCCTGTCCATGGCAAGGTAGGGGATGGGGGAGTAGACCACAGTGTTGTTGGACTTAGGGGCCTGGGACCTTGTCACTAATTCCCAGTGTGTCCTATCAAGATGTTTGAGTTCTACGAGCGAGTGTCTGGAGCGCGAATGCATGCTGCTTACATCCGGCCAGGCGGAGTGCACCAGGTGAGCAGCCTCCCAGCCTCCCTGAACTTTCAGTCCATGCCTGTGTTTTCTGTGGCCACTTGAGGGCAGCACTGGTTGGTGGAATCTCAAAGGCTGGTTGTTCCCGCTAGCTCTGAGAGAGGAGACTCAGCTGGCTCTGTTTGGTTGAATCTCTGCTGTACTTATAGTCACCGTCCATTTGGCTTCTAGGACCTGCCTCTTGGGCTTATGGATGACATCTATGAGTTTTCTAAGAACTTCTCTCTTCGGATTGATGAGGTGGAGGAGGTAAGATAGGAGTCACTGGGAAAAATCTGTTTTTTTGTCCCCACTTGTAAAGAAATATGGAAGTATCCTGATATGAAGAGTATTAACACACCACTTTTCTTCACCAACAGATGCTGACCAACAATAGGATCTGGAAAAATCGGACAGTCGATATTGGGGTCGTAACATTAGAGGATGCACTCAACTATGGTTTCAGGTGTGAGGAATGAGACCCCTCTCCTGGAGTCCTGTCGTCCAGGATGTCTAGTTCTGACCCCCCTCTTTAGGGTTGGGACTATAGTTGAGGGGAAGGGTTGGGGAGTTCCAGCCTAATATTTTGGCTTCAGGTATATGTGGCACCCTCCTGGTCATGCTCTTCATTTTTATCCCACACTCTGCATGTGGGAGAGGGAAAAGGGGGGACTGAAGAGGAGAGTGTATCTCCTTTCTTGGTTTGTGGAATGTGGCCCTTTCTCCCATTATGCTCTCGACAGTGGGGTGATGCTCCGGGGCTCAGGTATCCAGTGGGACCTGCGGAAGACTCAGCCCTATGATGTTTATGACCAGGTGGAGTTTGATGTTCCTATTGGCTCTCGAGGGGACTGCTATGATAGGTAAGGCCCAAATGGTTTTCCAGCTCACTGTCCAGCTAGTTTTCCCTGCCTCACTTTTCTCTTTGCCCACTTTCTTCTCTGCTCTACCTCCCAATATCTATGGGAGTTGCTTATATATATTAAACTGGGTTGCTTTTCAAAGCACCTTCACATATGTGACATCTTTATTTTGCTCTTACATTATCCCTATGTTTTTTTTTTTGTTTAAGAGGGTATTTAAAGAGGGAAATACCGCAGGGCATGGTCTGAGAAAATGAGAGGATTTGGGGAAGGACTCAATAGTGGAATCAGAAGACTTACCTGGGTGGCCAAGCCAAGCAGAGATGCTGTACTGAGGAGAAGAGAATGAGAAAAGTTTACCTAACTCTTTTTCGGGTTGGCCAAAGGGCACCCTTCCCTGCCCTTTGATATCTGATCCTCTGACCTTCTCTTGTTCTGTGTCTGTCTCACCTACTTCAGGTACCTGTGTCGGGTGGAGGAGATGCGTCAGTCCCTTCGAATCATCTTACAGTGTTTAAATAAGATGCCTCCCGGGGAGATCAAGGTTGATGATGCCAAAGTGTCCCCTCCTAAGCGGGCAGAGATGAAGGTTGGTTGCGGAGAGAGGGAAAGTGGGTCTTGGAAGGAGGCCAACAGCCAGAGAGGCATAGCCTTGGATTAGGCCCAGCTGTTCAGTTTTCCTTTTTCAAAGAACCAACTCTGTAAGATTCTTAACCTCTACTAGCTCTCCTCCCTTATTCGCTATCTTTTCTGCTCACTGACTTACGTGTGGGTTTTTAGTCTCCCTAGATAATATTTTCTGTGCTGGGGAAAGGCCCAGGAGATAGAGTCTGTATCTGACTTATTGATGCTCCCTTTTCCTCCTCTCCAGACATCTATGGAATCACTGATTCATCACTTTAAGCTGTATACTGAGGGCTACCAAGTTCCTCCAGGCACCACATACACTGCCATTGAGGCTCCTAAGGTGAGGAGAGAGGGAGAGGGAAAAGATAGTATGTGGAGTGGGCGACTGGGAATAGGTGTTCCAATAAATGATTCTTTGTCAGTGAGAGAGGACATGAGGGTGGACAGAGAGATTTTGTTGGCAGAGAAAAGTGTTCTTCCTGTTAATGGAGGCAGCCAATCTTCTTCCTCGGACAGGGCGAGTTCGGCGTATACCTGGTATCTGATGGCAGCAGCCGCCCTTACCGATGCAAAATCAAGGCTCCTGGTTTTGCCCACTTGGTAAGAAGCAATCCCAATGATTCTACCTCCAGTGAATGGATCCAGTAATTCGTTGACCTTGGTTAGATTTTTATGAGCTCTCCTTCCTTCCCCTACCCTGCAAGTCTTGCTTAACACTGTTGCTATCTCAATCTCCCCAGGCTGGTTTGGACAAGATGTCTAAGGGACACATGTTGGCGGACGTCGTTGCCATCTTAGGTACAAGGCCCATTGTTCAGGAGAGGTGTCCTGGACGAGGGGGTTGGGGACTTCCGTTGGGGACAGAAGCAAGCCCTCCCTGTTTGGCATACACTGTGGGCATGGGGGAAACCCTGGTGGCGTAGCGGTTAAGAGCTACAGCTGCTAACCAAGAGGTCAGCAGTTCGAATCCACTAGGCGCTCATTGGAAACCATATAGGGCAGTTCTCCTCTGTCCTGTAGGGTCTCTATGAGTCAGAATCGACTCGACGGCAATGGGTTTGGTTTTGGTTTTGGTATGGGTATGGGCTCAAGTCCTCCTAGGCACAGGCATGGGTTCTGAATCCTTGGTAATGCCACTTTTTCTCCAACCCCTGACCTCCTAGGTACCCAAGATATTGTATTTGGAGAAGTGGATCGGTGAGCAGGGGAACAACATTTGATCTCCCCCACCTATCAGCTTCCTATCAGCTTCCTCAGCGACGTTTGTCATCATTGGAAATGGGTGTGTGTTTGTGTGTGTGTGTATGTGTGTGTGTGTGTGTGTGTGTACACGTACGTGTACACTTAGCTGTCAGGCTTTCTGTGTGTGTACTAGAAAAGGAAAAAGTGATAATAAATTAGCCGCTTTGCGGCCCCTATGCCCAAACTTCTGGTATATCTTTCTCAGAATCTTAATTATCTTTCACTTTGATGGGAAGTTTAAGAGTGTCTGTTAACCCTCCATTTCTCTATTAGACTTACTTCTTACCAATTTTTCCTGCTTATCCCAACCCCCTTCTCTGACTTGTATGCCTTCTACTTCTCCATCTCCCATTTCCTCTTTTCTTCTTAGCCTTCCTCTGTCCAGATCCTCTTGTTGTCTACACAAATTGGTAAAGTATGTAAATCAAGATGAGATAAAAGTTCTGGGTGGGAGGAAAAGGTCTATAGTAGGGTCTTAGGCAATCCTGAGGGGCAATTTATCACAGATACATCTCTGAACAGGGGTGGAGTGAAATATGGCAGATGTAGACAGTCTTTCACAAGCACGAGAGTCACTTCTTTCCACAGATTAAGACCCTTGATCAATGAAGGTCTGAGGCTTAAACGACCGGATCTCCCAGCTCCCCTAGTTGGCCCTTCCGGAGCCGCCCGGTCTCTTACTGCAGGAAGGGGAAGGGGCCAAAGCATGGGGGAAGGCGTGGCAGGAAGGGGGGAACTCTGTGGTCAGGGAACTGCTCGCTGAGCACGTACAGCTGCGCACTGCTGTCAGAGCGTCCGATCCGCAGCTCGGCCCCCAGCCCGCTGCCCAGGATGATTTCAGCAGTGGTCTTGCTCTTACTCCTTTTGGTTGGACAAGCAGGTGAGAAGGTTTAGTGAGGGACAGGGAGCTGGGCTCCAGGGTGGGAGTCCAGGGCATGTGTTCAAGGGCTGAGGCAGACAGAACGGAAGACTGCTAGTGGGTAGACAGGCACAGGGCTGAGGTGGATACAGAGACCCAGAGGCTGGTCCTGTCCAGCTGCACCCGGGGCACTAGAGTCTCATAATTCCCTCCTTTCTTGTCCATCTTTGTCATAGCTCTTCTTGTCTTCTTCCTACCCCATTCCAGTCTTACTTTTCTCTCTTAAGGATCGATGTACTCCTGAGGCTTCAGTTTGGCCAGGGAGGTGGGTGGTTGTGTGACATAAGATCTGGTGGGGGCAATGCTCCATTTCCCGCAATCAGCGTCTTCACATAGGATACTTTCGGTCCTGTCCATTGGGAGCTGATCGCTAGCTGGTTAAATAGTAAAGAGATGCCTTTAAGAAGGTAGGGTCCTGTCCTTGTGCTTGGGAGTGAGGCAAGGATGGTCAAGAAAAACCTGCCATGGTTGTTGCTTCTGTGGGTGTTCGTAACACCATTCTGTCAGTATGCTGACATGACAGTGGGCAGCACAAAATGACCTTTAGAAACCTTGATATCAGATGAGAAACGGGCAGAAAGGGGAAAGTCCCAGTGGCCTTAAGGCTCCGGTCACTCTATTTAAGAACTCTCACTTCTTGCTATCTGGGTAGTCTATACTGAAAGTGTGTGTGCGTGTGTGCGTCTTTGTGTTTTGATGGGGATGGTGGCAGCTGGGTCCTGCAGAGGAGAGAGTTCGCAAACTTCAGGCAAACTGGGGAAATTGAAAGAGCGTGACGAGGAGGAGCTCCACCAGCCAAGCTAGGAAGGCAGAAAGATTAAGTTGGCTACTAGTTTGCTGCAATGGGATGAGGAGGGAGCGAGGGCAATGAGGCATAATGGAAAAAGCACACGCTTTGGAGCCAGAAAACCTGGATTTGAGTTCCAGCTCTGCCACTTAATTCTGTCACCCTGGATGAGTTACTTAACTTTTCCGGGCCTTGGTTTCGTCACCCATAAAATGGCGATGACGATGTTTTCCTCAGGGTAGTTTCGAGATTTATGCACTATCGTGTGAAAAGAGTGTCGTAGACTAAAAAGTCCTCCACTGATATCAATTACATGCGCAACTGCCCTTCTGCTAGGGGCCTGGAGCAACCTCTGGAGTCCAGAGCCTATTTCATTTTTTTAATTACACGAAAATTCCCCTCTCAGAGGCCCAGAGTGAGTAAGTGAGTGACAGAGCAGAGTAGCGGGAGATGGAATCCACAGAGCTTGTGGTCATTTCCTTGAGCTGCGTTAAGACACTCCCCCAGCCTTGTCCCAAGCCTCTGGTATCTCTAAGACCTAGGAGAGCAGACCTCTTGTTTTTACATATTTAAGTGTCTTGTGGGAAGGCACAAAGCGTTGCAGCTCAGGCTACAAGATGACCACCAATAACAGGGTAAATTGCCCTCTCTCCCTTCCCCAGTGCACATCCTTCCTGTCCAGCCCTCAGCCACAGGTCACAGGACTTAGCAGAGACACTCCGGTGGTTTCAGTGCTGCAATATGTCACCGCCTCCCTCACACTCTACCCCTCTGGGCTGAGGTTTTGGGTCTCAGCCCAGTGAGCGCAGATGGGTCCCTTGAGGGGGGTGAAGTGCTCAATGGTGTGTGAGGAACCCACAGTACTAAAAAGTGAGGATTGAGAGCTAAGGGGGAAGTCCTCAACTCTTAGTGCATATAAGTTCCGTCACAGCAGAACCCTTCACACTTCTGAGACTGCGCTGAAGTGGGGAGAAGGGGGCTGATGGGGGGTGGGGGGTGGGGGGGCAAGAGAATAGGAGTCCAAGGGGGAAGGCAGTTTCTTCCCTCGGAGGACTCCCCTCCAGACCCTGTCCTCCCTCCCAGAGCCCTTTCCCTTCTCTCCTCCGAGCACCAGATCCTCCCTGATGCCCCTGACCCCATGGGCATCCTCTATCCCCTCAGAGGCCCTGGGAGAGCCTCAGCTCTGCTATGTCCTGGACGCGATCCTATTTTTGTACGGCATCGTTCTCACTCTGCTCTACTGTCGACTCAAGGTAAGGCTGGCCAGACTGGGGTGAGGGCTGGAAGGAGAAGTGGGAGGATGGTGGCGGTATGGATTCCAGTAGCAGAAATAAAAGAGTTCCCCCATGGTGCAGTGGTTAACAGATAGGCTGCTAACCAAAAGGTAGGCAGTTTAAATCCACTAGCTGCTCCTTGGAAACCCTATGGGGCAGTCCTATCCTGTCCTATAGGGGCACTGTGAGTCCAAATCGACTCAGCAGAGGGTTTGTTTTTTTTGGTTTCCCATGAAGTTTGGAGGGAAGGAGGATGGGTCACTCACTTCCCCTTTACTGATTACCTCTCCCCTACTCCAGATCCAGATGCGAAAGGCAGTAGCCAGCTATGAGGTATGGATTCTCCCACCCCTGGATGTCAATTGTTTTTCAGACTTTCAGCCCTTTTGGGACTCTAGCCTCGGGGTCTGAGGCCTCTGGACCTCCTAGAGGGCATACATGTCAGGTGGCCCCCTCCCACCTCACCCTACCCCACCTCACCCTACCCCACTCTACCTCCTAGCGGAGCCACAGGGAAGAATCAAGGGTAGGATGACAATAAGTATCGGAGAGAGTTCTATGTTGTGTGTCTGTGTGTGTTTGTAGCCATATAGGCAAATATGTATTCATTCATGTGTCAGGGCATCTGTGTGTGTGCCCTCTAGCTCAAGGGGGCTAGCCACCTCTGGCCAGATACCTCCCTGGGTGGGGTTGAAGGTGCTGGAGGGCCCTGAAGGAGGTGTGAGTCTCTAATGCCTTGTCCCCTTTGCCTCCACAGAAGTCAGATGCCATTTACACGGTGAGTGAATCTGCCTCCCACCACCACCACCCCCAGTTTCAGCAAGTCAGCAGAAAAGGGTGGAATTTTGAGTGACCTTTGGAAGGGGTGGAGTCTGTGGGGATGGGTGGGGCTCTAGGATGGGCTCAAACTTCTGATCATCTTCTGACCCCCACCTCCAGGGCCTGAGCACCCGGAACCAGGAGACGTATGCGACCCTGAAGCACGAGAAACCACAACAGTAGCTTTAAAATGGATACCCTTGGTGACATTCTTCTTCTGCCCTAGTCCTCCTCCCATCATATGTGGTTGGCATCCACATATGCTCCCCTCCCTTGCAGTGAATGCCACCTGACTCCACTCCTGTAATGACACTTGCCCCTCATTAATATTCACCAATGGAACCTCCTGCCTGTCAAAGACTTATGTTCAAATGCTATTCATTAACATCCTAGTCTAGCCCCCTTGCCCTAATCTTCTCTTCCTCCCCATCCTCTTTTACGGAGCAATGTCATGAGAGTTCCTCCAATAAAGCCAGCACAGTCTGGATTCTATTCATTCATTCATTTACCATATATTTATTTAGCCTCTACCAAGCACTAGGCTGGACACTGAAGATACAGGTTTGTTTGTTGGTTGGTTGGTTTTTATTGTGGTAAAATATATTTCACAAAAAATTTGCTGTTTTAACCTGAAGTACAGCAGACTCGGTTCCTGACCTCACAGAGCTCACGGGTTAATGGACTTCTGGGCTATTTTGTTTGAATGAGGGATGAATGTTGACTGTGGCTGGGTGAGGGGCAAGACTCTTGACCTGGTGACCTGGGATGGAGCTGGCACAGGGAGTAACGTGTTGAGAGTCTAGGCATGTTTGGAGATATTAAAAACCAGTTGATTCTGACTCATGGCGACCCCACGTGTGTCAGAGTAGAGCTGTGCTCTATTGGATTTTCAATGGCTGATTTTTCGGAAGTAGATCGACAGGCCTTTCTTTCAAGGAGCCTCTGGGTGGACTTGGACCTCCAACCTTTTGGTTAGCACCTGAGTGTGTTAATTATTTGCACCACCCAGGTTTGTTTTTGAAGACATTAGATAACCTAAGAAATGATTTATGCACCCCAGCTTGGCCTTCTGTGTCTGGCAATTAAACCAAGGTTGGGTTGTGGGGGAGTCTGGCTGCATTCCCCAAGTAGTCACCAAACCATATTAGTCTGGGTTTCAGGGAGCAGTATGAGGACAGCTCACAACGTACATGCGTAGGGGAATTAGCACAGATGAAAAACCAAACGCACAGGAGAGATGGTGGGACTAGGGCTGTCTGAAGTTCCTAATGGAAGCTTTTATGGGAACAGTGATTTTTTTCAGCAGACTCTGGGGCATGAGGGGCCTTAGAGGGTCAGACAGAGATAGGGCTGGGTGAGGCAAAGGGGAACAAGTCCGATACAGATGGGAGGTCAATTCCCTTGAGCACCTGGGCAGGTTGTCAAGGAATCCCTCTGGTCAGTTCCTGTCCTGTTTCCAGCTCTGCTAGGAGGCAAGATGCCCTGGAAGTATCTGAACCCCATCAGATGCTGCCAGTCCTGCCTCTGACCCAGCAGCCCTGTCAGAATGGGTCTAGCGTCTCCAAGCTTACCCCTGCCAAGCCCCAGTGCTGGCCTATACTTTGTACTGCCTAGTGACTTACACTTGCAATTTGTTTCCCGGCTCATTGTACTGTTTGATCATCCCACTAACCCTGTGAGGATATTCAGGCTCTATGAAGTTAATTAAGCTGCCCAAGGTTACCTTGTAAGTGACAGAGCTGGGATTCAGACTGATACCTCTTTGTCCCCAGATATTTTGCCAGATGAGAAAAAAATATATAGATATTAGGAAAGAGAAGAAGAGGGAAGTAATCACAAGTGATGAGAGCCTGGAAAACCAGATTGAGGAGGTTGATCAGTATAGGGAGGTTAATTGGAGCCATCTCCAGTGCATGGGGGAAAAGTGATTTCAGATGAGATATGAGAAATGAGCCAAAGTAGGGAAGCCACTGGTTTTTTTTTTTTTTCCTTCCTTATTTATTTACTTATTTTTATTGTGCTTTAGATGAAGGTTTACAGAACAAATAGTTTCTCATTAAACAGTTAGTATACATATTGTTTTATGACGATGGTTTAGAACCCCACATGTCAACACTGTCCCTTCTCAACCTTGGCTTCCCTATTACCAGCTTTCCTATCCCTTCCTGCCTTCTAGTCCTTGTCCCTGGACTGCTGTGCCCCATTAGTCTCGTTTTGTTTTATGGAGCTGTCGAATCTTTGGCTGAACGATGAACCTCGGGAGTGACTTCATTACTAAGCTAAAAGGGTGTCCGGGGGCCATACTATTGGGGTTTCTCCAGTCTCTGTCAGGCCAGTAAGTCTGGTCTTTTTTTGTGAGTTATAATTTTGTTCCATATTTTTCTCCAGCTCTGTCCAGGACCGTCTGTTGTGATCCCAGTCACAGCAGTCAGTGGTGTTAGCTGGGAACCATCTAGTTGTAGGGAAGCAACTGTTTTAAAGGTAAAGTGGGAACAAACCTCAACTGGGAAATGCTTCATTTTCCCTTGCCCCACATTTTGAGATTGTGACCCTCCCCACATCAATCCAGTCTGGTTTCCATTCCATTTGGATTTAATTGAGCTCTGAGAGTTTCTCTAGTCCCATGTATCTACCAAGTTGGGTACGTGTCAGGCCTCTAAATGACCACTGATGGCTACTAGTTCTAGGCCAGTTCTATGGAAAAACACCTAGATAATAGTGGGGGAGGGGTTTGGAATGGGTCTTCATCAGACAGGGGGTCTAGCTGAGAGGTTTTAAATGGAGGAATGAGGGTACATTTTGGGAGAGGGGTAAACCCTGGTCTTTTCTTTCACTGTGGGGGTGGGGGGGAGTGCAGTGTTCCTCTGGCTCAGAAGGGAAGGGAGGATCTTGGGTGACATCTGTGGGTTCATTTCTTGGAAGTTGTCTCTTCATAAAAAGAAGAAGAGGAAATTCTGAGGGATGCTGTCATTTCCTGTGACCCTTAGGAGTCTAGGGATTCAGTTTATGACCCCTTCATTTCTTTCATGGTTCCACATTCAGCGCGAAGCTCTTTAGTGCTCCCTGACAGAAGCCATTCCCAGGCCTGTAGGGAGACTTCTTGGGTTTGGAAAAGAATGAAGGATCACAGGCATCCTCACTCTGTCATTTCTACCATCTGTCTCTTTAACCCTCTCTCTACCACCCCCACACCAGAGTCCCTCTTCTTTTAGAATCAGAATCAGATTTCTCTTGGTCCTTCCTCCTACTCCTCCCCCACTTCTCCTACCTCCCCCCATCCCTAAAACACACCAGGCTCACAGCTTGATTCTTCAGTATTTATTGTAGAAAACGGGTGAGTAGAGTGAGGGGCTCTAGGCCTGGCTGGTGAGTGTTTTAGGGGCCAGATGAGGATGAAAGACAAAGGTCTGGACACCTCACTTGGCAGCAGGCTGTGTTTTGAGATCCATGAATTTGTTGAAGAAGTTAAGCAGATCTGTTCCTGCCTTCTTGACCAGGGGTGTCAGCTGCTCCTGTGTCTTCTCAAAGTAAGCCCTGGATATGTGAGGGACTAGAGGTTAGTGTGAGGGACCCTAGGTACAGGAGGGGCCTTGTTGGTGGGAGGTCAGTGCAGACTGACCCAGGTCCCCAAACCCTAGTGACTGGTCCATCCTGGCATGGCAAAGCCCCCAGGAGGAGAAGAAAACCTTCCAAAGGGCAGAGGAATAGATGCTAGAGATAGAAGTTCAAGTCCCCATTCCTGCTGCCCCTATCTGTCCACAAGGCTAGTAGGATCTGGGGGTCATGAAAGGCATTTTCTCTCCTATTTATGCCTAATCTTTCCCAACCCCCACTTCTGAGCTCAGTCCTCCCTGGGACCTCCCATCTTCCCCTCTTTCTCTCTGTGGCCCCTGAACCCTTTCCCTGGGACTCACTTGGCCTGGGCCTGAAGATCTGAAGCCTTGGTCTTCTCTACCAGGTCCTTGCCATACTCGCTCACGGTCTGGAGGTACTGAGAAAACAGGCTCTGCAGAGTTGGCTCCTCCGCCTGTCTCCGAACCAAGGCCCCTGTATACACACACACATTGTTCTCAGTTGGGTCCACAGCAACTGAGTCCTGGCCTCCTGCCACACCCTCTGCCAATACCCAGTCCTAGCTCTCAGCCCTTTCCCCAAACAGATGTCTAGCTCTAGGTCTCTGGATGGGCTTTCTGGGCTTTAGAGAGGGAATAATCTTCCCTTTGAGCCTGGAGTTGCCAGACCTGGGCATAGTAGCGTGGATAGATGGGTAACTAGGACCATCAGCACTGTCTCCTCCGTGGGCCCCCCTCTCCATATCATACCCACCTTCAAGGCTGCAGATGGTGAGGAGCAGCACAGTCATTGCAAGCAGCTTCATGGTGGCAGCAGTGGGGAAGGCGGCCTGGGAACAGGATGAGAGGCACTGAAGCCCAATGGTCTTCAGCACCTCCCCAGGGATCTCCCTACCTAGGTCCCCACTTCAACCTAGTTCCTTCCCTTTCCGCAATTAAAACCCAGCCCTCTTTGGATACTGCCCACACTCCTGCTCCCTCACCCTATGTAGTCAGCGTCTGTGCCTGGCCTGGCTGTGGAGGCAGTGGATATATACCTGTCTGCTTCCCCACCCTGTCAGGTGACAGGGACTGTGGAGGGGCCCAGTGGGGCAGGGGCCATGTTGGAGTAAACAAGTTGGAGAAGTGGGGGAGGAGAGAACAAACACACATGGGGACTCACGGTGATGAGGTGAGAGCCGGGGGTATAGGCCTTAGCAGAGGCCAAGAGGGTGAACTGCAGGCCTAGCTAGGATTCATTTCTGGGGGGTCTAGGCTAGCAGTCCTTGGCTTTGAATGCAGCAGGAAGCAAGACTCCTAGTTCTTTCTTTGGAAAGCCCAAACATATTAAGCCCTCAGCCCTTGGTATCTTTATTCCATCATGGGTAGATTTCATCTCTCCAACACTACCCCTCTCCCCTGGAACTTGGCAGGGTGGTATTGAGGAAAGAGGAGAAAGAAGAGGGGAGCTGTAATCAGGGGTAGGGGTAGGGGTGAGGAGGATGGGGCTTAGGGGATGGGGGTTAGGGTCAGAGGGCAGATGTGATTGACTCTGTTCCCTTTCAGAGTTAATGTGTAATGAGACAGGGGGAGAAAACACAAGAGCTCAGAATGACTCTCCTGGGTGCTGATCAATGAACTCACTCTACCCCCCATAAAATAAATTCAGAAAGCAGCCCCTTGTCCTCCCCCTCTCAACTGTTGGCTCTGGCAGGGGGAAAAAAAAAGGTGAATGATAGATTTCTGCCAGGCTAAAGGCTGAAGGTCCTTGGCCATTTGATCACCTTATCAGTTCTAGGTAGTGGTCAGCCAATATTGAGTCAGCAGGGGCAATAGCATCCCTCTGGCCAAGGCCCTGGCCCTTGTTCCGGCTCTGATTGTGAGGGAGGGCAGAGGTACGATCCCCAGGCCCAAAGCATTTGGGCAAAATCAGCTAAATAGATATTAAAAGCATTTGTATCTTTCACACTTTTGCCCTCAAAGCCTACTCCTTGAGAGATGGGGGTGGAGATGTGGGGGCTAGTGAGGGAGGTAGTGACCAAAGCCCAAGGAATCTTCCTCCATTCTCAATTATTCTCCTGTGGAGTGCTTAGTGTGTGAGAGTCACCCCACTGATTTTTTCCCTGGCAATGGGGTGGAGGCATCTGAGGACCTAACTCTGTATTCCTGGATTTTATTTGCCAGCTCTGCCGAGGGGTTCATCAGGGAAAGAAGAGTTAACTACAGGGGCAGCTGTTTCAGGGAATTGTTCTCTTAGTATTAAGGCCGTAGCACCTGCTCCTCTCACACCCATCCCCATTCCACCAAGAGGGCAAGATGGTGAACTTTGAGAGATCTACACCTCAAAGGATGTGTGTGTCTACATCTTAGGGAGAGCTGTTCGTGTGAGTAGTACTCATTTGGAGGTGTACTGTGGAGGGCTGTCAGGAGAACTCTCCAGGTATTCTCTATGCGGAAGAGAGGGAGGTATGAACCAGGATTTGAAAGAAGTCTTCACAATTGTTCCCACCACCACCCTTCACAAGACTACAAGAGTCCAGACTTCACAGCTTCAGTTTTCTCAGGGGTTGAGAGGGAGCTTCAGTGGCCCAAGCCACATGATGCTCCCCCTAGTGTATAGTACACTCACAGGTTTTCCCCAATCAAGTCCTGCTTGCTGATGCGGCCCCCGGGTTGGAGCTCTCCGGCTGTGAGGCCTGTCACTCCTTTGCTTCCTCTTCTCCCATTGGCTCCTAGGAGAACAAGGCAGCCTTTTTACATCAATTGGGCGGGGCCCAATCGGGGAGGGGTGGGTAGGTTGGGTCTTTGATATCTTTTTCTCGCCCGGTTCCAAGATGGCGTTCGTGACCACGCTAAGAATGCAGTGTGAAGCCTCAAGTCTGCCATCACTCAAGATGGCCGCCCCCATCAAGATGACCGGGGTGTGCCGGTGGGAAAGGGGCAGCAAGATGGTCTGAGACGGTAAGGGCCACTGCTTCATTGCGGGCCCGGCCTGGGGGCCTGGGAATGAAGAGTAAAAAAACTGGGAAGCTGGGTGAGGTCTGTGGTAGGGGCTAGGATTAGAGAGTGGAGGAGGGGACAGGGTGACAGGTGGGGGTGCGGTATCAAAGATGGGACGGGAGTGTGTATGGGGTTCGATCTCTCCATCGGTGCCCTCTCCTCCTCCTATTCCAGGTCTAGCGTCGGACCATGTGGAAGTTTCTGGGACAGGGGAGCCTGATGATGGGGGGTGGGGCCCTTGGGGGGTAGACGGAGCAACAGCGTTCTTTCCCAGGCTAACCCCGGCCCCTCCCCCTCCTCTGGGCTGAAATGGGGAACACATTGGGCCTGGCACCCATAGGGCCTTTGCCCCGCCGTAGCCCCCGCCGAGAGGAACCTCTGCCAAATCCTGGGAGCTTCGATGAGCTGCACCGCCTCTGCAAAGGTGGGAACTTGGCATTAGGGTGGCTCAAGTTGGAAGGGGCAGAGGAGGGGAGGCTCTTGAATGCTGGGTGTCCAGTGATGGGAACAGGAAGGAGGTGATCACACCTGGGCAGCCAGCCTCAGGGAGGATCAGGTGCCAGAATAAAGTCGAGCATTTCGTTGCAGGACTTGAAAGGAGGTCAATTCCTCTAAAGTACTTCCTATGGGATTGAAAGGGGAGACTGCCTCATGGGGTAGGGGTTCCTCGTCTGTACTTTTGTACTTATTCTTTTCCTTCCCCTCATGCCCCCTTCAGACGTATTTCCAGCACAGATGGAGGGAGTGAAGCTCATTGTCAACAAGGTTCTAAGCAGCCATTTCCAGGTGCTCCCACTTCTCTGACTCCTCCTTACTAGTCCTCCTTGCCTGTCGCTGGGCCTTCTCCTTTCCTTTGTATTCCAGACTTAGCCGGGCTATGTGAGTCAAATGAGAGAGGATGTGGAGCTCTCTTTACCTCTCTTGCTTGTGGGACTTGTTGCTTTTAATTTGATGACCCTTGGTGTATGTTGGGATGTTTGGGTTTCTTAACAGGTCCTCTGGGTGGGGAGAAGATAGGATGCAGGACTGAAATGGTGCAGGAGTGTTCTCTCTTCCAATGATTCCTCTTTCTTTAGGTGGCTCACACTGTGCATATGAGCGCTCTGGGATTGCCAGGCTATCACCTCCATGCAGCCTATGCGGGGGACTGTCAGCTTAGCCCCACGGAGGTGAGGGCTTCACACACCTGGGTCATCTCCGTAAAAGCCCACCTGGGAGCCAGGTCTGGAGGAGAAGGAAATGTGTGTGTTATGGGGGAGAATGGGCGAGGCACCTGATTCTATGTCTTACGAATGGGAGGTAAGGGAACTTTTATGAAGAGCCCAGAGTTTGTCTTTGTGGCTCCACCAGGGGGCGCCTGGGACTGTTAAGAAAATCTTGTGTTGGGGTTTAGGCTTGGAAGGGTTGCCCAGCTCAGCCTCACTTATCTACCCTCTCAACAGGTGTTCCCCACTGTGGTAGGGGATATGGACAGCAGTGGCAGCCTCAACGCCCAGGTCCTGCTCCTCTTGGCAGAGCGGCTCCGAACCAAGGCTGTCTTCCAGGTGACCCTGCCTCCTGCCTCCATCCACTGAGGCATTTCCTCTTTCTTCCCAGTGAATGACCTGCTCTGGGGAGTTTAGTGGGAGGGGCAGAGGCAATAGTGAGCTTCCTGAGGGAGGGAGATTTTACTTCTTGCTCTCCCCACCCAGACGCAGCAGGCCAAGTTCCTGACTTGGCAGTTTGATGGCGAGTATCGGGGGGACGACTACACAGCCACTCTGACCCTAGGGAATCCTGACCTGATTGGAGAATCGGGTGAGGCATTGGGACAGGGTTCTTTTTACCTTGGCTGCCCGCTTGCTAATGTTGGCTTTTTCATCTGAACAGTTCAGGGATTAGGAAAGGACCTTTTTGGGGGCGGGTTACTAGGGGTAAGGGAGCAGGTCTGGATATTGTCTCTATGGCGGTCCCCTGACCCCATGTCTCCACACTCCTCCACAGTGATCATGGTGGCTCACTTCCTGCAGAGCCTCACCCATCGGCTGGTGCTGGGCGGGGAGCTAGTTTACCACCGGCGGCCAGGCGAAGAGGGGGCCATCTTGACACTGGCCGGGAAGTATTCGGGTATGAAGTGAGGTGAAATAGTGACGGGGAGGGGCAATTCTGGACTTTGCTGGGGTCTCTGATCTATGTCCTACTACAGTAACGTTCCTTTCCCCCTCTATTTTGGTTTTTACAGCTGTACACTGGGAAGCTACATTGAATGTGGGGTCAGGTGGGGCCCATGCAAGTTATTACCACAGAGCAAATGAACAGGTGAGACTGTTGATCTCATCCCCCCTCCCCACCCCACCCCACCTCCAGAAAGACAGCTCTATCCTTTGCCCCTCTGGACCTCCACAGGCCTTGCTAACTTACTGTTCTCCCTACCTACACCTCACATAAATGCCTTCATTCTGGGTGATACTGATTCTCTGTCAGGACCCCTCTACTCTTCACTGATGCTGATCCCTTTCTCTTCCTTGCCCACGGTTCTCAGGTTCAGGTTGGAGTGGAATTTGAGGCAAACACAAGGCTACAGGACACGACCTTCTCCTTTGGTTACCACCTTACTCTGCCCCAGGCCAACATGGTGTTTAGAGGTGAGGAGTATTGCAGTGATGTTTGGATGTGCTGAGGGATTTGAGGGGTATAGAGGGCGAGGAAGCCCTACCTTATTTCTGCTGACCCCTTTCTTCAAGCCTTGTTAAGCAACCTATCTGGTGTCCTCTTCCCCAACAGGCTTGGTGGATAGTAACTGGTGCGTGGGTGCTGTGCTGGAGAAGAAAATGCCCCCCTTGCCCGTCACCCTAGCCCTTGGAGCCTTCCTCAATCACTGGCGCAACAGATTCCATTGTGGCTTCAGCATCACTGTGGGCTGAGGTTGTTCCCGAGCCCCCACAGCAGCTGGAACCTCTGAGTCAGGTGCCCTAGGGCCAGAGACTAGGCCCCTTTCCAGAGCCCACCTTCCTGGGTGACCTCTAGATCCCAGGAGCAGAGTGGGGACAGGACCATTCCCTTCTCAGAACTGGAGCTGTCACAGGGGCAGCTGATGAGGCAGTGATTTGAGGCTCCCACCTCTACCACCAGCCCCACTATCATCTATCTCATGCTCTTAGGGCTTTGGACTAAGAGGGAAAGATTAAGGGTATGTCTGGCTGATTTTCCCCCTTTACTTCCTTTCTCTTTGGATTAAAACTCCTAGCCTCTTCCACTTTGGAGCAGAAAATTATGCATGGGATTAGCTTCCCATCCTGTTTTCTAGCCTAGAGCTTCCCAAAGCTGGGAAAGAAGGGCTGAAGGGCTAAATCTATGGCCTCAGAAAGCAGGGCCTCTCCACTTCCAGAAGGAGCTTTACCTCGAAGCCCTGAGGCTACCTCCTTCCTCATTTTCTGTGCTTTCAGAGAACGACTTTGTCCCCATGGTCACTCCCCACTCCCCTGTGACAGCATGAAAAGGCAGTTATTGCTTTAGTCTTTCATTGCAACCACTTGCAAGTATTTTCCCCTTCCCAATCCAGTGTCCCAGGTGGGCTGGGGAAAAAGGTGACCCAGGGCCTCAACTGTAGATTTCCTGGAGCAGTGGCATCATGGCGAACAGCCCCTGGATGTGCTGGATTTGGTACCCATATGCATTGTTAATACTCCGGAGTTCAGCCAATAGGCCCAACAGCTTCGCATACAGAAACCTTTGGAGGAAGCAGTGAGGTTGCCAGCTGGTAGTCTTGTCCTAAGGCCCTGGTCCCTCAGTGGAGCTAGTGACCACTAGAGAAAATCATGCTCTGGTATGATGAATTAATCAAAGTTTCCAAAGGTGCCAAAGGAGGCCTCTGCCTGACATTGTCTTTTCTCACCATGCCCATTTCCCCCTGAATCCGGAGCTCTGAGGGCCAAGTGTGAAGAAAGCCCCAGACTTCAGCCCCAGCCCCAGTACTTCAACTCTGTGGAATCTGAGGGTCTGGCCTTCTAGACCAGGATCTAGAAGGTGGGTGTGTTCTATGGTATAAAGAGTCACTCTTCTGGCCAAACTGGCTCATTGAGGAATGAACAAGAACAGAAGTGGAACATACCTCAGAGCCTGCATAGATCATAGACTGTTGAGCCATTGACTGACTTTGGACATGAAACTGTGAATGACTGTAACTTCAAGGGGAATGAAAAACGAAAGTCATTGGCCCAATGGAGAGGAGGGCTAAGGAAAGAGAGCGAACAAGACTCTCGAAAGGCTGCTTTAGTCTGTAGAAGTTGATGGATGTCATCAATCTCAGGAATGCTATTATACAGGGCCTGTGAGCTACTACTTTGCATCTCTACTGAATAAAAAAAAACCTGGAAAAAGTGAGGTGAAACAGCATTAGGAACAATTTGGATGCCGGAACTATGTGAGATGGGGATGTCAGAGGGAAGGACTAGACCCCCAAGGGACCTGGTTTCCCAAAGGAAAGGACAAAAAGAGATTCATCCTGAGCTCAATGTTCCCCTAGCTCCTTGCCCTAGTGCGACCTCCAAGCCCCCTGTCTCCCACCGCACCTATTCTGGGGCCTTGGCTGCTGGCCCTTGATGTAGATTTGCAGAGTCAATGCCATCTCCTCTTGCAGCTGGTCAATCTCTTCTCTCTGGCTAACCCCAGGCCGGTCTGTGGGATAGGGAGCCGGGATGGACAAAGTAGGGGGCAGGGGCGGGCCCGCATAGTGCCTTAAGGGGCTGAGGCTGGGATACACCCACTCTGCAGGTTTAAAGGCTAGAAGGCTGGGGATGGATAGATTCAAGGAGCTGGGAGTTTGGGTAGAGGTATTGGAGTTTCTGGGCTTTGGGGGATGCTCACCAGGAGAGAAGAGGGCCATGGCAGCCATGAGCACATACTCGGGCTCCTGGAGCTGTAGTCGCCTCAGTGTCTCATGGAAGTGAAAGAATGAGTCCAAAAACTCTACCTGGAACCCTACTGTGGGAGATACTAGGCTTAGGATGCTCCAGGTCACCCAACCACCTACCATACCATGAGGAGACATGCCTTGTGCTGCTCCAACACTATCTCACTTTGGGCTCCGTCTTCCATTGTGTAGCGAAGAGGTCCACAGAGGAAGTTTCGTGTTTGGAGACAGAAAGTGGTATTGAGTGTAATTTGACAGATTTCCACAGCTGCTCCCTTGAGAAGGGCGATCTGGTCCTCCATGGGCAGGGACCTGTGGGGAGTGGGAAACAAGGGCACTTTAGATTCTAGCCTGAACCTCAGGGAGGAGAGGACCTGTTTACAAACAAAGCTGGGAATACCAGGCCTGGTGCTTTGGAAGGCTGAGGGATGGGTTATTTTGATCACTAACTTAGGGAGGTGTAATTTACTGGAATATTTGCTTCCTGAAGGGTGATGGAAGGTCACTCACCGGAAGAGTGGCAGATCCTTGGTGAATTTGATGACTTGCTCTACCATGAAAGTGATGATGTCTGTGAAGTGCCTGAGCAGAGGCAGCACAGGGGCCAGGGTGGGCAAGGGCTGGTGATGGATGAACAAGTGAGCTGGAGGCTGTGGAGATCAGAGCATGAGGCCTAGGCCCTAGGGCCTCCCTAGCCTTATCTTGGAAGGGTTCTGGGCTGAGGAGTTTGCTCAGGCTGGGGTTCTGGAGAAGTCCTGTACTGGAGATTGGTGCCTGGCACACAGCCCTTCTCCCTCAGGTGAGCTTCCTTGGACCCCTTTTGGTCACACTCCAGCCCAAATCCTGCAAACGCTTACTCTGAAATGCACAAACTGGTCAAACATTGTGCCCATGTGGCGAGTGTGGGCCCACAGGAGCATCTGGACCAGGTCCTTCTGTTCCTTACTCAGCCGCACAGGTGCTTGTTCTGCCCGCCGCTGGGCCTGCTGTGCTCGCCGCAGTGCCAAGGCTTCTGCCGACAGGATCACTGTGCCGGGCAAGAAATGTGACAAAGCTGTGGAGAACAGCAGAGAACACCCCTCTCTGGCAGCCCTGGGCCTGGTCCCTCAGTCACCCTGCACAATGGAGGGTGGAGGGAAGAGGGTTCCTAGAGTTTCCTTGACCTCTACTGAAGCCCTAGAGGCTCCTGGTGGCAGGGGATTCCTGCACACTCTACCAACCTGTGAGACTCTGCAGCAGAAGACAATGCCCTGTGGGAGAGAAGGGAAGGGTGGAGAGCAAACCAGGAATGTTGTTAGGAGGTGATTGGCCTGTAGGGGGATGTAGAAGGTGGAGAGGTCTTGATACCTAAAACAACACCTTATCTTTGTGTAGCACTGTAATTTCAGTGGTTCCTAGGTTAAATATCACTGGATGAAACAGCCCTATGGGTAGATAACTGAACCAAAACCTATTGCCGTTGAGTCGATTCCAATTCATAGTCAATTCTGACTCATAGTGAACTGCCCCATAGGGTTTCCAAGGAGCAGGCAGTGGATTTGAACTGCTGACCTTTTGGTTAGCAGCTGCAGCTCTTCACCACTGTGCCACCAGAGCTCCATGGGTGGATAGGACAGGTATTATTATCCATATTTTTCAGAGAAGTAAACAGGCTTAGAAAGAGTCCAGAACAGGTCCCAGGTCACAAATACTTAAGCGAGGTAGACTGAATTCAAACCAAGATCTTTTGATTTCTATGGTTTCCTTTCTACCGCTCCATGTTGAAAGACAGTGTGATGTCATGGAAAAGATAAGGGCTTGGGAGTCTGACAGACTTGAGTTTGAATACTGGCTCATGACTTTTTAGCTGAGTGAACTTGGGTAAGATAACTTCCGTGAGCCCCAGTTACATTATCTACTGGGAGCATAGCATAGTTACCTGACACAGAGAAAGCATTAAATAAGTTAATTCAACAATTATTGAGTACCTACTAGGTGCCAGGAGCCCTGGTGGTGCAAGCGGTTAAGCGTTTGGCTGCTAACCAATACAGGAGAAGTTAGTTTGTGGGGGATTGACAATGTTTTCCATTTTAGACATACTGAATTTGAGATGCCTAGGTGACATTCTAGAGCCCTGGTGGCATAGTGGTTAAGAGCTCAGCTGCTAACCAAAAGGTCGACAGTTCGAATCCACCAGCCATTCCTTGGATACCTTGTGGGGCAGTTCTACTCTGTCCTATAGGGTTGCTATGAGTTGGAACTGACTCGATAGCAATGGTTTTTTTTCTTTTTTCTTTTGGTGCTAGGTGACAGGCACTATACTCAACTATACTCAGGGGAAGAACAGGAAAAGCAAGCCATATGAATATCTATGGGAAGAGCGTTCCAGGTAAAGGAAATAAAAGAGCAAGTGCAAAAGTCTTGGGGAGAGTGTGCTTGGTGTGTTTGAGGATGTCAAGGAAGTCAGTGCAGCTGGAATGGACTGAGCAAGGGAGAAGAGTAGGAAATAAATTTTGAGAGGCAGAGTGGGGGAGCTAGGCCGTGTAGGTCATGAGATCATGTTCCCTAAAAGAGTTAGGGAACCATCTGAGGTTTTGAGCAGACTAGCGACCTATCTGACTTGTTTCTAAAAGCTTACTCTTGCTGCTATGTGGTGAATACGCTGGGACGAAGAAGGGCAAAATAGAGACACAGTCAGTGGATTCTTGGGATGGTAGGGGCCACTTACTGTCCTTCCTCATGCCAGCCTTTAGGCACTTTTGCAACCTGCAGGCTGGGCAGTGGCGTCTCTGGGCCTTGCTGACCTCACAGCTTCCAGCAAAGGAGCAGCTGAGACCAGTGCTTTTGATGGCTGTTCGTCTGTGAGAGACAGAAGTATTGTTAGGGATGGGGATGGCAGTGAACAGGCAGGTGGATATGTGAGGGCCTGACATGATCTAAAAGGCCTGGGAATCTGGTGACATGGGCCGGTCTGGGCTGTGTGCAAGGGTCCCCATGGGGGCACAGTTGACACAGTTCCTAGCTCGGTGCTTTGTAGGCAGTGGGTGCATGATAAATACTCTTGACTAATGAGGAATGTCCGTAGGACAAATGTTTGGCCTTTTCTCTGTTATCATGCTGCCTGTTTATACAGTGTTGGAGTTGGCGAGATGTGGCATGCTAGCCACAGGGTAGTTGGGCTCTAGGATGCAGGAGTAATGTAGCTGGACAAACTCAGGCATGTTTCAGGGCTCAAAGGCTGACAGATAGGCAGTTTGAGGGTTGTTTCTATTAGGGAGGAGGCTCTCACCTGAAGAAACCCTTGCAGCTTTCACAGGTCAGGGCATGGAAGTGATAGCCTGTGGCTCGGTCCCCACACACCACACAGTTCCTTGGCTCATCATCTCTACTGGCCATGGTCTCAGGGGTTGAGGTGGCTCTTACAGACTCCTGAATGTGGGAGAGGTTAGCAGTCAGCTTTGGGCCACCCTCACCCCTCTTCTCCCTTCTGCAGACCCTGTTCCCAAACCTTCCCTGGGTCTGACCCTGGCATTACCTGTACTTCAACACTTTGAGCTTCTGGCCCCCAGAAGATTCCTACCTGTTCTTCTTAGGCAGCACATCACCTTCAGGTCAAGGACCTGATGTGGGGTGTCTCTCCTCTACCTCTCACCCTGGCCCTGCTTTCCCTCTGATCTCAGGAGCTGCCAGGGTTGGAGTTAGCAATTATGGCCCCCAGTACCTGAAAAACAAGGGATGCCTGTTGTCTGTGGCTTCCAATCGCTCTCAGTGACTGCCTAGGTTGGGCACAGACTCTGGACCCAGGGCAAAGGCCTGGGTGGGGTGGGGTGGCGGGGGAGGAGATTTTCCCAGCATATGAATGATGCTGATTGCTGGCACATGGGGAGGGAGTTTGGTGCGTGGGGGCCTGATGACTCATTAGAAGCTGCTCCTTAGCAGACCCATTGAGATTTTCCCTACTACCAAGCTGCAAACCTCCATCTGCAGCCTCCTCTATACGAAGATCCTGGACCAGCTGGAAAGAGAGAGGAAGAGACAGAGCAAACTTGTTCACTTGTAGTATGTCAATAGTGAAATAATAGGAGGAATGATTATATAAGCCTCCCAAAAGGAAAGTTTTAAAAAAGAGTCTATTTATTTAAGTTTTATGAAAGAGCCTAATTAAGAGCCTATGTAAAGAGCTAGAAGGGCCCCACTTCCTAACAAGGGAGGGCTGAGAACTAAATCAGAGTGGCCTCTAATAAATTAGAGGTAGTCGGCATTGATTTGGAACTCTTGGACCAGTGCTGGTTTCATGGGTTTGTGACCTCAGAAGGGTTCCATAGTTGTTTTGATGCTCTGCTGTTGCCATCTGGAAATTCTTAAGTTTTGAACAAGGGGTCTTGTATTTTCATTTTTCACTGAGGCCCACAAATTATGCAGCTAGTTCTGTCTTGGACCCAAGATGAAGGAATCAGGAACTTCTAACATGTTTAAGAATCAAAAGCAGGAGTCTTCATTGGGGTTGTAGTGCTCCATTGATGCTGAAGAATATTATACACACACACACACATTTTTTCTCTCCTAACATCTATAAATAGAAAAAGACAATTTTAAAAGGTGTTTGATGTTTTGGGGATGGATAATGTGTGTCTTAGGCTGGGTTCTCTAGAGAAGCAAAACCAGTAAAGTGTATAAATATATATATAGAGAGAGATTATATCAAGGAAACAGCTCACGTGATTGTAGAGGCTAGAACATCCCAAGTCTGTGGATCAGGGTAGAGGTCTCTCCCAAGTCACACAGCTGCAGAAGCTGGCAAGCCCAAGATCG